CTTCTAAATATATCTCTGCTCTTCTAAGTTTATTCTTCTGCTCATTAAATCTACATCAGCAGTTTCTTCAACATGATTGTAACATTGTTATGGTTATATTACTCTAAACAACATTCTGGCATGGGTATATCAGAACATCCAGTTCCAAAATTGGCTAGTATATAACCAAAACATTCCAGCTGATAACATACTTTATTTTTTCTTCACAGTTAATATACTGGGTTCACTGTATACAACAGATTAAATGTGTCTACTTCAGTATCAGTGTAAGTCTAATATTCCTGCTCATACAAAGCCAACTCTTTAAGGTCAAGTCTAAAATAAGCACTGCCTGTATCCCTGCAAAACCACAAAATTCATCTTATTAATACTATTTCAGGAGGGCTGGATATTTATCTATCTCCCTAATATGGCACTGGGGACACTCCTTAGCACTGACAAGAACAGATGGCACCTATGATTAAAGCATTAAATTAGGAGCTTGGAAATACAGGTTTTACAGGCTTCCCATATTACCTTTGCAAATCACTTCTCATTTCACTCATTTGAACAGATATGGTACAACACCCTCAGTTAAAGAGTTTAGGACCTCAACAACATGTTACTCAGTTTTCTTAAATCAACAATGGTTCTTAACATTTCTAAAATGCCTCTTGAAAATGATGTGGGGCTAAGCTCATTAAAAGAGGATTACTAGAAAGGAAAAATGGGAGTGTAGAAAGTGATATTACATTGATAGTACAGGACTCATCACTGTTTCTTGTCTAGGCTTCAGAAGGGAGTAAAACTCTGTGCCAGGCTCACACTTGCTGAAAGCAGCAAGTATTTTATGTTGGGAAAGTACCCAAAGGCCCTAGCCTTTGAGATCAAAGCCTAAATGGATCTAGACATTACAAGCACGTAATAACAGACAATTCCCACTTTGTTTATAATTAAACAAAATAAACAGACTCAAGAAGAGTAGGGAAAGGAACATAACTATCTCGCCCAAAGCCAAACAGTAGATTCAAATGTAGAGTTGGCAGGAGGATTCAGACCTTGACAAAATAACGAAGAGGCAAATATCTTTTGTGGAAAGAGAAAAAAGGTGACAGTTCTTCATACTTGTGTCTTGTGATTCTCAGAACACATTCTTCAAGAAGTACTAAAATGGGACAAGACAGCCTGGGCTGGAGAAGCAGAAGAAGGCTGCAAACTCTTTGCTAGCTCACATTCCTGGCAAGGACTGGAGACTTCTAGAGTGCTGGCCTTTGCAAATAATCCTTGCAATCAAACCTGACTCGTAGCAACGGGTTTGGATAGTTTCCCTTTGAGCCAACTTATGAAAAAATATCGTATCTGCAACAGGTCTGCTCAATTCATCCACAGAATGTAATGAAGTAAAATAGTATAAGAGAGCTGCAGCAACCTAGCAAAAATTCTCTCTGGAAAAGAACAGCTGTGGGTTGATACAGGGCTTTCTGCTCCTGTTTCCAGACCCTCAACCTCTGGAACATACTGAAGATACAAAGAATAAGCTGAGCTCCCCTGGAAGTACTATACGGTTCTTCTGAGGAGAAGTATTTTTTCCCTTTTTGTCTCAGGATGCTCAAGCACACTGTAAAAGTCGTAGCAAGTGTGGGAGAGTTGATCTGTGCATGATGGCACCTTCTCTTCTAAAACCAAGTGCCTCTTGGACACTGCCCACCGCAGTAACAGCAATCCCTTCTTCTTTAACAGGCCATAAGAAACTCTTCCTCCCACTCCGCTCTCTTCTGGAAAGCCAGCAACAACACAGCCCTGCACTGTTGTGAAACTGCTAGCTTTAGACTCAGTGAACACAAATCACACCATTATCAGAAATAATGACTGAAAATTAGCCAGACAACCTGCCACCACAGTAAGAGACAACTGAACTGTTGGCACATTTTGTAAGACAAAATGAATAAATAAGCTAACAAGACGACCCTTCAACAGACTACATTTCTCTGCAAAACTAGCTGTGTAGTGCTTGGAATAGCAGTTATTAATAACAAATTAATATCTTAGAACAGATCACAAACTTCAAGTGGCTTTTAAAAAACACAAGGAGAAGGAAATTCTTTCAGCAAGCTGTCTTTAGTAGGAAAGAGATGGAAATTTTCCTCTTGAATCTATCAGAGATGAACACAAATCTGACTATTTCAGAATGGTCATTTCATTAAGTTGTCTGCAGAGAAAGAAATTCTTAAAATGAAAAGGAAGTATTTATAATCTATGATCTTGTTGGCATCATGGAGATGTGGTGGGATAGCTCCTGTGACTGGAGTGAAGGCACATGGAAAATAAAGGAGTGATCAGTAACAGTCAACAACGCTTCACTAGGGGCCTGACAAATTTGGTGGCCTTCTACAATGGGGTGACAGTGTTGGTGGATAAGGGAGGAAGTGACTGACATCATCTACCTGGACTTGTGCAAAGGATTTGACACTGTCCTGGGTGACATCCTTGTCTCTAAGCTGGAGAAGCATGGATTTGACAGATGGATCAGTTGATAGATAAAAGAATTGCCTGAGTAGCTGCACTTAAAAGAGTTGTGCTCAACAGCTTGACATCCAAGTATAGAGCAGTGATGAGTGGCATTCCTCAGGGGTCAGTACTAGGACCAGAGCCATTGAACATCTCTGTCAGCAACATGGACAGTGGGACTGAGTGCACCCTCACTGAGCAAATTTGCTGACAACAACAAGCTACGTGGTGGGGTTGACACACTGAGGGGAAGGGATGCCATCCAGAGGGACCTTGATAGGCTCAAGAGGTGGGCCAGTGCAAACCTCATCACGTTCAACTAGGCCAAGTGCAAGGCTCTGCACGTGGGTCAGGGCAATCCCAAGCACAAATACAGGTTGGGTAGAGAATGGACTGAGAGCAGCCCTGAGGAGAAGGACTTGGGGGTATGGACTGATGAGAAACTGGCTCAACATGAGCCAGCAGTGTGCACTCACAGCCCAGGTGGCCAACCACATCCTGAATAGCATCAAAAGGAGCAAGGCAGCAGTTAAATTCTGCCCCTTCTACTCTGCTCTCATGAGACCCCACCTGCAGTCCTGCATTCAGCTCTGGGAGCCCCAAGATAAGAAGGACATGGTGCTGTGGGAGTGAATCCAGAGGTGGGCCCTGAAGATGGTAAGAGGACAGGAGCATCTCTCCTATGAAGACATGCTGAGTTGGGCTTGTTCAGCCTGGAGAAGGCTCTGGGAAGACCTTAGAGCAGCCTTCAAATGCTTAAAGGGGATCTACAAGAAATCTGGAGAGGGACTTTTTACAAGGGCATGTAGTGATAGAGAAATGGTAATAACTTTAAACTGAAAGAGGGAAGATTTAGATTGGATATTAGGAGTAAGTTATTTACTGTGAGAGGGGTGAGACACTAGTACAGAGTGCCCAGAGAAGCTGTGGCTGCCCCATCTCTGGCAGCATTCAAGGCCAGGCTGCATGAAGCTTTGGGCAACCGGATCTAGTGGAAGGTGTCCCTGCCCATGGCAAGGGGGTTGGAACTAGATGATCCTTAAGGTCCTTTGCAACCCAAAACATTCTATGATGCTATGATAATTTATAGCACATACAAATTGCATTACTGTCATCAAGAGCTTTCCTCTGGCACCAACAGTGCAGTAAAAATCTGTAGGGAGATCCTGCCGAGGAATCCTTACATGGAGTTTCCCTGCCTTATGATCCCTTTCCACAAAGGCAACTAGAGCATCCAAACCATAAATTCATTCTCCAGAGTCAAATAACTTCCACTATGGTACACTCAAAGAGATTCTAAGTGCAATAAAAGTGGATTCTAATATATAAGCAGACTCACAGCATACATAAAATCCCTATCACTAAAGTAAACTTGGTAGGACCTCTCTCCTGCCTGCCTGGCACAAGTGGCTGATAATGTTTTAAATTCAGGCAGAAGCTGCAGTGACATTCAACAAAAGTAAATTGGGTTTTCGAAATATTTACACTTCCTAGCTCAGCTGAGGCAAAATAATAATATGAAGCTAGTGGAAGTAAGGTGTCATAACCAGTTAATCATTAAATCGGTTTCTACAAACCTTGTCTGACAAATTCTTTTACACTGACATACCCTCACTCACTTCTCCTTAGCTATGAATTAATAAAATTGTCCAGTAATACAGTTTTATTCAGCTGGAAAGCAAATGTGTTTTAATTCATTGACAATCTATTTATCTTCTGTAAATCTGCAGAAACAGTCTGGGATATTGTTTGGCTTTGCAAGATCACATTTAGAAAGGCCACAGGTGACAATGACATTGATATCACCAAGTCTGAACAGGAGGAGGAATCTAGCCCTGCCTCACTGTGCAGTAGTATAAAGGGCTTCAAACCTTCTTGCTGCTTCATAGGAAAAACATTCCCATGCTCCTAATGACAGCTTTCTAGCTCATTCCACATTCTACCTCATTCCATGATGGTTAGCAAAACCACACTCACCTCCCAGCTCAGATCATAGAAGTATTTTTTAATTCTGCATGATTAATTCTATAGAATTATTTTGTTACTCCACTACTTAAGTTGAAATGATTTCCAGTTTCTGTTCTATAATTTGTTCTGATCAGAACTGATGTACTTATTTCTAATAACACTGGGAATTGCTATAGGTGACATACTATCTGTAAGCAAACAAAAAAAAAAAAACAAACCCAAAATTAAAAACCAACACACAAGAGTGGTGTATTAGGGGGAGAAAGGTATTTAAGTCAAGGTCACTTACCACTCTCTGACAGGATAAAAGACTCCTTAAAACGTGTACAAACACAGTCAAAATTTAATAAAAATTATATTCACATGTACTTTCATATCTTCTCTTGCTGAAATAAGTATCACATTCTTTCTCCCGATAAACAATTTTAGCCAGTGTATGCTACACTACCTCACAGGATTTTTCTGCAAATGTTGCAGCTATAGAAACACATTATTTAGAAGAGAGGGAAAGAAAGATTTAAAATATAACAGAGAGAATGACTTACCTTGTTTAGTTCTTTGGAACGAAACACACTGTAAATCACAGATGTGAGCTCTGTAGCAGAAGGAAGAATGAAGTGATCTGCAGAGTTCAGAGTGACTTCAGCGTGATCCCAGCCGCTTCACTTGGCTACTGCCTTCCTCCTAATAAAGCTGCAGAACGATACTCTGTGTTTGTCTTCAGCTGAGGAAGTTGGTTCCTCCGTTTTGAAATACTGGCTTTCTGTATAACCCCAGTATTTCACCAAAATAAGTTCATGAATCATTTTGGTCAGTGTCCAAGCAAGCAACAGATGTGGTGAATGATGAATAGAAAGAGACCTTACAGTTGTAGGCTGCTTTTTGTTATACAGAGATGAGGTTGAACAGAATCCCTTTGTAAGCACTCTGGTTTATAGAACATGATGTTGAATGAGCAGAAAGATTCTTAAAAAGTCACACTGAAAGCATAATTTTATAACTCTACAGTGAGATAAATTCATTCTGTATTCACAATTAGTAGATTAATCTTGTGCCTAAGACAGAAGTGAGCTCCTCAAAACATCACTACTTAGTGCCTCTGTCTGTCACTGCAACACTGGTCAGAAATTTTAACTGGGTTTTAGAAGACATCATAGCTTGATTCCCAGATCCATAAAGAGCCTGCTGAGTTTTTGTGGCCAGGCCTCATGATCTCAATGTCACTTAGTTTCTCAGTCAGTAAAAGGGGAATATTATTCCACTAGTGTCTACATACAATAGCTTCACCCAACTCTGACGGTACCACACTCATCATACCATTGTAAATCAGTTGAGCACCTGTCAGTCCACCCTCACTGAAAATCAGATCTTCTAGGAGAAGAAATAACCCAACAGTAGTACTCCTCTGTCATTAATGCAAAATGTGTAAAACGTTCAGCACTGATTGAATCTAGTCAATTCCAAGTTTTCCAGATATCAACTCTATTGATTCCATTGAAAAATCAGAAAAACAAACAAAATACCAAAACCAAAAAAACAAACACAGAAGAGAGAAGTGCTTAGTGAAAAGCAGCAAAACTGAAACTTCAGCATCTGGTTAGCAAGGCTACCAGTTTTAAGCACCTCTCTTATGGTCCACAGATCCTCTTTACAGGAACCAGAACCTCCTTCCAGCCAAACTACCCTGTGTTGTCTCTCCTCCATTACAGCTTGTTCTGTTCTGCCAGTATAACTTAAAATGCTTACAGCTTGTACATGAGGTGGGAAAGCTACAAATGAAAGGAGGATGAAGATTATGAACCAGTGGGACAGAGCCCCTGGAGCATAAGGAAAGGGCACTGAGGTAAGATTTCTGTTAATATATGACACAGGAGGGGGGTGCCTTAAGAAAGGGTATAGAAAGATTCAAGGACCTAATGATTTGGCACCTCACTCATTTCTTGTATTTCAAAGATTTTCTGTTTTCTTTAGGTAATCGACTGGTGAGCCTTCACTGATAAAAGCAGTTTTAATAGTAGTTATCTTTTGTAAATATTGGGATAAGGTAAATTCAGGCACCATTTAACAGCAGATTTGCTGAGGTTTTTTTGCTTGTAATGGCACAAGTCTGTGTGTCTCTAGGTACTTTGCCAAATCCAGTTATTGCAAGCCAGTTAATTCAAGGGCTTGCTAAGTACTATTTCAGTAGGATAAAAGACAAAATTACTGGGTAGATAACCCTCACCCACAATCTACAGTAAAAGAAAAAAACCTCAGCTAGCAAACTAGAGCTACATATTTGCCAAACATTGTTCACCTCAGTGAAGAGAGCATTCTGGAGAGCGCAATGGATGCTAGCAGTTTTGAGCAGCGAGGAATTGTCCTTAAGGGAATGTTTCCTTCACCATAAACCAAACAGGCTTGGGAATACTTTAACAGGTACTGGGAACGATCATGCAGTTCCTTCATCCTTCAGAACCAAGGGAGGATTAAACCTCACACAGCAATTTTCCTCATCCTTTCTAGCAGTGTCCCAAGTAAGAAATCACAACAGCTAAGGACCCAGAAGACATTTTGTGGCAATAAGTTTCAACAGAAAATTAGGGTTTTTTTCCCTCAAGAACAGATTAGTGCATTTAAAAGAGTTTTTTCCACCTGTCTGTCCTACCTAAATTTGCTCCTTTTCAATTGAAAAGTACTTTGGCTCTAATAAGCAATTACCCAATTTGCACAGTATAACCAGCATCTGTAACTGGGAGTAAAGAAAAAAGGTAACAGAATATTGGAGACAAAATTGCACTTAATTTGAAAAGATTTTGTTCTGTTTTCTGTGTACTGCTAAATACAGCTTTTTATTCTTCTACAGTTCTGATTAAACACACTGGGAATCTCGAGTCTCTGAAGAACGTAAACTTGGGCCCTAAAATTTTCCTTGGTTTACTTCCTTCTATGCTCAGACACGGTAGAACTGGAATGGTGAGTCCCAGATTACATGTTTTTTTTACAATACACTTTCATGCAACCCATTAACCATTGACATAATTTTACGAGTGTGATCACTTCAGATAATTTTGTGAAAGTTATATGCCTGAAAGAAAATTTATGAAGAAAAAAAAAAGTAGTTTGTTTGCTTTCATGCCTTCTCCTTTTTCTACTTGGAATTTGTATTTATTTTACCATGTTATTTGTGCTTTTTCAACAGGTAAGTTAATGAAATCTTGGAGTTTTTACTCTATGTTAAGTATGGCAATATGCCAGAGCTATACTGAACAGGGACATGCATTCATGAACATACAGTGCATGCAGGACTTGCAAAGCAGAGAAGTACTACTTTATACCTGATGGAAAAACAACAAAGGAGACCATTGTCATACAAGTAACAGACACTGGGTTGCCCAGCAGTGAATAAAGCAGGTAAATTGAAAAGCAAATTTTAAAAGCACTTTCGATTCTTTGTGGGGTTTTTTAACCCTATTAAACAAAGCAAAAGCATAGGATGTATGGAAAAAACTGTCAGAAATACTTTACCAGTATTGACCAAAGCACAAATTAAAAAGCAATAAACAAAACCAAAGTAGCTTTAATTTACCTACATTACCAAACAATTGCCTGATAGTTCTAAAAATTATTTCCCACTGCTGAGATCTTATCAAGCTGCCTATTAGTATGTGCAGATAATCTCAGCACTAATGAACGCCCCTGTCTGAATTCAGTGTGCACTAATTCAATGAAGTTATACTAACCATGTATTTGCAAATTAGGTTAGACAAAAGATATTTAGTTTTTTCTCAGGGTTCATTTAAGATGATCAACACAAGAATGAAATTACTTACCTTTAGAGGATTCAGCTGTTCTTACAGTTCTGTTTAAAAAACAAACAAAAATACCCAACCAAACTTCACTGTTCCTCTGTCCACACTGTTTGAATTAACACCTCATCGATTAAAATCGGCTCTGGAAAGACAGAGTTTAACTACCAGACAATCAGGAAAACGGTAATTTCCTCCCTTCCTGTGAAAGTAATGACTATTCATGCCTATCCTTTTGGTAAAGCTGTAATGTTTGCTTGAGGCTTAACTGCACACTACATATTATAGTCAGCAACTGTGACAAAATTCTCTAGCAACACATTTAAAACAAACCACCCCATGAAGGTTTGGCTCATTCCGGCAAGTCCACATCCTCTTTCTATGCTGATATTAGAAATCTGAAGAATTTAATGTATAATGTGTTGAAGAAATTCAGTAATTCTGCAGAAGGCAAAAATCCTTCATGTAATTATTAGTTTAGTCAGGTCAAAACACATAAGCATATAAATCAATTGCTGTATGTGTTTGTATATGTATGTATATACATACATGTTTGAGCAGGATCTTTGAAACCAGCACTTTCATGTAACTCCTGCGAACAAAGTCAGCAGGGTGTTACATTCTATGCAACTGTGAATGCTGGACAATAACTTACAAGGAAGGGAAAGAAAGATGGTGGCTTGCTTTTTTTTTAATCATGAAGAATGATACCTGGAAAAATACTACCAGAAACAGCCTTTTATTTCTAATTTCCCCTCATAGATTTTGCTTTTATATTTGCATTCTTTTTCATTTTCCACAAATAACTAGGAATGATTTTCTACATTATTTTAGCCTACAGCTATTCAAATTTTGTATTCTTAGGACAATCAAGTAAGAGATTATACCTGCCACTCCAAAGACACTCGAAATCCATGGAATTTTCTGAGGACGCCTTAACAACAAACCTTCTGGTATGTACTTAAATGCTAAAGATTAAAGTCATTGAAGAGATAAACAGTCAACTTGAAAACAGTATTTTTCCATTTTAGCCAAAGTGCTGTCTCCTCCCACAGAAAAGAATGCCAGTGTTTGTAAAACTAATCTCAGAGAACTAGAGAGATTACAGAAACAGAAATAAGGCTACGAAAACTAGTTGTTTCACTACGCATTTCATGTTCTTTAGTACTGCTATAGGGATTAACCAACTTGTACTTTTTCACATCCCATAAATTACCAGAAACTACAGTCACTTAGAAACATCTTAGGAGAGAAGCATAGCTGCCTACACCTATTCTTTCAAAGACCTGAGATTTTATTTCTCATTTAAAGTATAAACTCTGGAGATTCAGTCATCCACCTTTTATGTGATAGGTCTTTTGGTTAAAACCCTAAATCCACAGCACAAACAGGATTATACCATGGCATTACGTACAATGGACATGACTCAGTGACCCAAAAAGTATTTAAGTTTCCTGTTCTGCATTCATCTATTAACAATTCACAGCTAAGTTGAAGCCTATTGTGATGAGTAACAATGCACAAAAGAAGCAGATACACAGGGAGAAGACATTACAACTTCCAGCCCCTCACTGTTCTGTAGCTAGACTATTACTCTGGGCTACTGTGCTCACTCTGACAGAGGTGGTCTTAAACACTAACAAACTTCAGAGAAATTGAAAAGGAGTTCTGATTCCCTGCAAAAGACACAGAGAAAATCAGAGGGTTAATACAAAATTAGGGACAGCTCCCTGAAAATACATGCTAGCAGGCAGGGTACCTATACAGGCCTTGTGTGATCAAGCAAGCTTGTTCCTTTGCAGCACTACTACTCAAAAATCTTAACTAAGAGAAGTATCTATGCACATGTGGAATTGTGGAACCTGCTGGTTACTCTGTTAGACTAACCACCTATTGACTCCCCTAGGATTTATGAAGATGCAAAGCTTTTAAATTAGGCAGTTGCTCCTTGCAATAGAGAATGGTTCCTGAACATCAGTGCAAAGCTGGTGCAAATCAAATCCAAATCCAAATCAATCAATCAACTACGGAAGCTCTGAGAAGCTGTGGTCAGTGGTTTAAGCACATACTCATTTGTATTTTTAAAGTTGCTCTTTTTAGTCAGCTACATTTCTCAGATTTTTTTTTTTTTCTGTATAGTGGATGAAAACATCCTGACGAAAGGCGCCAGGCGACCTTGACTCCATAGGGATTTAAGTTATTTATCCATAGAAATGGCTGTGAGGCAAGGAGAACCAACACGAGTTTCTGCATACTGCTCTACATTTGCCCGCTCCTCTGATCCCTCTCACGGGGGAGAACAGTTTCGCTTCTAAACCCTACCCATCCCTCAGCCTCTCTAATGAGATGGGACCTTATAAATCTCAATAGATCTGCTGCTTGTGATACTGGCAAAGCAAATTATTAAAGGCTCTGAAAAACGCTTTGTTAAGGAGTCAGTCTATAAAGGCAATGTTAACTCTTTCATTGCCTTCTAATGAAAGCAAAACTGGGCTCAGGAAAGGAAGCATAGGAAATCAGTCTAAGGAAAGAGTCAGCTAAAACTCCCAGTATTTATTTGCTCAATCTAGTGCTACTCCTTGAACTGTACCAACACACATAAAGGTTTATTTTAAACCCTTCTCACTTGGATTTTTTTTTTTTGTAGAGACTAGAATTGCAGCATTTTCTGTAAAAG